CTTTAATGATAAAAGCACTCAAAAAACTAGGAAAAAGGGGGACCTTTTTAACATAATAAAAAACATTTATGAAAAACTATAGCTAACATTTTACTAAATTGTAAAAGACTGAAAGCTTTTCTCTAAAATTAGGAACAGCTGAAGCCGGTTTGGCTCAGTGGATAGAGCGTCGGCCTGTGGACTGAGGGGTCCCAGGTTCGATTCCGGTCAAGGGCATGTACCTGGGTTGCGGGCACATCCCCAGTGGGAGATGTGCAGGAGGCGGCTGATCGATGTTTCTCTCCCATCGATGTTTCTAACTATCTCTCTCCCTTCCTCTCTGTAAAAAATCAATAAAATATATTTAAAATTAGGAACAAGACAGAGATACCTGTTTTTGCCACTACTATTCAACATTGTACTAGAAGTCCTAGCCAGAGCAATTGGGCAAGAAAAATAAAAGGCATTCATTTTGAAAAGGAAGAAGTAAAACTATGTATTTGCAGATGACATGATTCCGTATATAGAAAACTTCAAAAATTCTAGTGATAAGTGAATTAAGAGAAGTTGCAGGTTTTACAATATCAGGGTTTGTTTGTTTTTTAACACTAGCAATAAACATTTTTAAAAGAAAATAAGGAATACATTTAACCTAGAAGGTAAAGCATTTGTACACTGAAAACTGGAAGAAAATTCAAATTTATGGATTGCAAGACTCAATATTGCTAAGATAGAAGTACCACCCAAAGTGATCTTTAGATTCAGTGTCATGCCTATCAAAATTCCAAGTCTGTTTCTTGTAGAAATAGAAAAGTTTAATCTTTAAATTTATATGGAATACAACAGACTCCGAATAACCACAACAGTAATGAAAATGAAAATGAAAAACAAATTTGGACAGCTCCATCATATAGACCCATAGATTAGAATTGAGATTTCAGAAGTGAACCCATACACCTATGGCCATTTGATTTTCTACAAGAGTGCGAGACCATCCAATGGGGGTAGAATAGTAAATGGTGCTGAGACAAGTGGATATCCATGTGCAAAGGAATGAAGCTGGATCCCTACCTCACTCCAAATATAAAAACTTAAAATGGATCAAAAACCTAAATTAAAGTCTTTGACATAAAACCATAAAGCTCTTAGAAGAAAATATAGGGGTAGATCTTCATGACCTCCTCCTATCTGACAATGGATTCTTAGCTATGACACCAAAAGCACAAACCACAAAAGAAAAAACAAATTGGAATTCATTGTAATTAAAAGCGTTTGTGCATAAAAGAGCATTATCAAGAAAGTGAAAAGATAACTTACAGAATGGGAGAGAATATTTGCAAATTATATATCTGGTAAAATTCTGATATATAAAGAACCTAATAACAGACAACTGAACTTTAAAAAATATAGAAGACATGAATAGACTTTTCTCCAAAGGAGATACTAGTACACAACTGGTCAACAAGCGCACGAAGAGATACTCAACTTCCTTGGTCATTAAGGAAATGAAAATCAAACCACATTGAGGTACTGCTTAACAGGTCCAGCAGTTTGACTGTAGTAAAAAATATTGAAAGATAAGTGTCAGCAAGGATATGGAGAAATAAGAGCCCTTGAAAATTGCTGGTGGGACTGTAAAATTATGAAGACCCTTTAAAAAATAGCGTTGGCGTTCCTAAAAAAGATAAACATAGAATTATATGACCCAGCAATTTCACACATAGGTATATATCCCCCAAAATTGAAAATAGGCACTCAAATACTTGTACAAAAAGTTCATAGTGGCATTATTCACAGTAACCAAAAGATGGAAGCAACCCAAATGTCTATCAACAGATGAATGGATAAACAGGTTGTGGTATATACATACGTCAGCCATAGAAGAGAACTGAAGTATTGGTACATGTTATATATAACATGGATGAACCTCAAAAACAGTATATTGAATGCAAGAAGCCAGGCATAAAAGGCCACAAATGGTATGATTCCTTTAAATAAAATACTCAAAATAAGCAGATCGAAAGAGATAAAAAGCCAGTTAGTGGTTGCAAAGGAATGGGGGAAAGGGGACATAGGAAGAGATTATTTAAAGGGCTTTAAAAAATATAGTAGAAAAATGTAGAAATGTTTTCTTTAGACATGTTGAAAAAGTTTTGAGACTGGGGAGAGTCGGTAATTGCACAACATTGTGAAGGCACGAAATACCGCTGAATTGTACTCTTTAAAATAGCTAATTGTGATATGTGAATTTCACTTAAAAACGTATATAGAAACCTAATGTTAAAGTTTTTTATATTGTATAACCAAACAGCTTTAAGTGCTTTAGTATTTCTTATGGGTGGAGTTACTGTCGTTGTTGTATACTAAATGTTTTACAGATTTTGTTAAATAATGATTTTAATTAAATCATTAAGAGTCAAATTTATTGGAAATACATCTTCTCTTAATAGTATGGATTTTTTTAGTGCCATGTAGTTCATGTATCCATGAATGACGGCTGAAGAGTTCAACATCAATTTTATTCCTGTTTTATTTCATTATTATTGTTATTATTTTTAACCTTAACTCTCACAACCATTTTTATTAGAAAGGTGAATCCTGATCTTCATGATGGGCTTTTTGATAGAATTTCTGGTAGTGATCATGGGCACCAGGGTCCCTGAACTCTTGGCAGGCAGCTACCAGAATGGTCTGGTCGTACTGGATGAGAATGTCTTTGATCTCCTTCTTGGAAGCCTATCCATATGTTTTTGGTAATAGGCAACCAGGCCTTTGGAGGTGGACTGGCCAATTGCGTAAGTCTGGGCCGCGTGACCACCACCCTTCCCATGGACACAGCCAGCTCATTGTTCCTTGCCCAGAGGCAGAGCAGGCTCCAGTAGCTTGTGTTGCAGGGTGTGGTTGGATCATGTTCAGGGAGCACCCATTCATCTAACGAGGCAGGTGCCCCGTTTGCCATGTGCCAGGGCACTGGCAGTTTTCTTGTGTCCTAAGACCTGCCCCAACTGCAGAGGACCCTCGGATGGCATGGCTGCAGGTGTACATGAGATATCCTCATTGTGAGGTGCTACAAGCAGAAAGAAAGTCCTATTTTATGTTTTGTTAGACATAAGAGCTGAGAAACATTGTTAATATAAATAAGTAGATGGTGATGGACATTTTGTTATGTCTGTGTCACCTCCCTATCTGCCCTGCTATGTTCATGACAGGGAAGGCACCCCAACCCCCTGATCAGCCCTGCTCTGTGCCTGATAGGGGGGAGCTCCCCAGCCCCCTGATCGCCCTGCGGCTCTGTGTGTGACAGGGTGCGGCGCCCCAACCCCCTGATCGGACCTGCTCTGTGTGTGACGGTGCGGCGCCCCAACCTCCCCCCACGGGCCCTGCTCTGTGTGTGATGGGGTAGAGCCATAACCTCCCCATCGGCCCTGCCCTGAGTGTGACAGTGGCGGTGCCCCAACCCCCTGATTGGCCCTGCTCTGTGGGTGATAGAGGGTGGCGCCCCGACCGCCCCCCACGGGCCCTGCTCTGTGTGTGACCTGTGTGTGACAGGGTAGAGCCATAACCTCCCCATCGGCCCTGCCCTGAGTGTGACAGGGTGCGGTGCCCCAACCCCCTGATCCGCCCTGCTCTGTGTGTGACAGGGGGCGGTGTCCCAACTCCCCTATCGGCCCTACTCTGTGAGTGACAGGGGGCAGCTCCTCAACCCCCTGATCGGCCTTGCTCTGTGCATGACAGGGGGGAGCTCCCCAACCCCCTGATGGGCCCTGCTCTATGCATGAGGGGGGGAGCTCCCCAACCCCCTGATCGACCCTGCTCTGTGCGTGACAGGGGACAGCGCCCCAACCCCCTGATTGGCCCTGCTCTGTGCGTGACAGGGGTTGGCGCTGCCACCTCCCCATCGACCCTGCCTTGAGTGTGACAGGGGCTGGTGCCCCAACCCCCCAATCGGCCCTACCCTGAGCGTGACTGAGGGTGGCCTCGCAACCTCCCGATCCACCCTGCTCTGTGCATGACGGGGCAGTGCCCCAACTCCCCAATCAGCCCTGCTCTGAGCCCGACCAGGGGCTGCACCTAGGAATTGGGCCTGCCCTCTGCCACCCGGGAGCAGGCCTAAGCCAGCAGGTCATTATCTCCCGAGGGGTCCCAGACTGCGAGAGGGCACAGGCCGGGCTGAGAGACCCCCCCCCCCGCCCCCCCGAGTGCACAAATTTTTGTGCACTGGGCCTCTAGTTGTTAATATAAATAAGTAGATGGTGATGGACATTTTGTTATGTCTGTGTCACTCAGTTCTTTGAATTTCTATGTCATATGCCAAAAAAAAACACACATAGTGTGATTTACTGTAAAATGTAGTTGTAGTGATTTATCAGTTGATAATTCAGTTTTTCCTTCAATTTTTTTGAAACTGAAGAATTGGAAAACACTTTATACTTGCATAAGAATTTGATAATCACTAGAGTCAGTCATTTTCACTACTGCCTCAACACTTATACCAGCATTTCCAGTTGCCCTTATATTTACTGCTTTACGGATTTTGCCTCTCAGGGAAATATATCAAGGTAATAAGAGACATAGGTTAGAGGACTATCTTTCTTTTGTGAAATGAAAAGGCATTGTTAAAAGGGAAAAGGGGAAGGAAGGTGAACTCTCGTGACACAGGCAGAGCAGTGTTTGAAATAATTATCTGTCGGAGTTGAAAATCTGATACCCTTAAAACCTCCCTATATCCATGCAACTCTTGCAAAATCTTTATGTACCTGCAGGGTACTGAACTCTCTCTGAGATTTTGTATAAAATGCTTTTTACTGCCTACCTTCAGATAGGAATCTTTGAATAGCTTGGGACTTCTATGTACTGTGATTAAATAGATGAAAAATGGAATTTGCCCTAAAACTCTTTTTTGAAAATGACTTTATTTATTTAGTACTGGAATAAATATAGAATTAATATAAAATTCTTTAAAATTTGGTGACTTAGGAGGTTGGCTTCTCTTATAATTCCTTTTCTAAAATCTTTCCCAGGTCAATGAGTGGTCATTGAAGATAAGAAAGGAAATGAGAGTTGTTGACAGGCAAATAAGAGGTAAATTACCATTTTATGTCTCCTGTTCCCTCACTCCCTTAGTGTATTTTGCATTAGTTCATAAAAATAAGCTGCTTCAAAACATAGTTGATTCTTATATTATTTATAATTATTCTATTTGCTTTCTAATAATTATAAGAAAAACTAATCCTAATGAACTCAAAGAAACTTTATATTTTGTTAGAACTAAATCTTTCTCTTGCCTGGAATTCAGCTATTCAAGGGAGAGGGGTCATGTTCATTCATTTCTGGTTTTCTAGAGCTCAGTGTTGGAAACAAAGCAGGTGCTCACATACTGTGGTAGACAGAATAATGTCCTCCCAAAGATGTCCACATTTCAATCCCCACAGCCTGGGAATATGTTACCTTACGTGGCAAAAGGGAATGTGCAGATGTGATTAAATTAAGGCTCTTGAAGTGGGGAGATAATCCTGGGTTATCTGGGTGGGCCCAATTTAATCACCAAGTCCTTATAAGACGGAAGCAGTATACTGAGGAAAGTGAGAGGAAAGGAGATGTGACCACAGTACCAGGTACTGGAGTGATGTATTTTGAACATGGAGGAACAGGCCATGCGCCAAAGAACACATTGGCCTCTGGAAGCTAGAAAAGACAGGGAAGTGGCTTCTCCCATGAAGCTTCCAGAAGGAACACAGTCCTTCCAACACATTGATTTTTCAGACTCCTAACCACCAGAATTATAGAAGAATAAATGTGTTGTTTTGAGCCATCTTATCTAATAAAAGAGAAACATGCAAATTGACTGTACCTCTGCTACACACAACAAGCCACACCCACAAGCCAATCAGGAGCAACTATGCAAATAAACTCAACCAAGATGGCGGTGGCCACGGAGCTGGAGCAAACAGGAGGCTTGCATTGCCCCTGGTAATGGAGGAAGCCAAGTTTCCCGCCTGCCCTGGCTGGCTGTGGGCTCCGCTCAAGGCTACAAAGTTTCAATTATAGAAGATAAACAAATCCCAGATACCTGCTTCCAGCTGCTGTGGCCTCTGCTCAAGGAGGGTCAGGGAGCCTGGGTTGCCCGGGGCCATGGCCAGCCTGCAAATAGCCATCAGCCCCTCACCCAGGCTGGCCACGCCCCCCAGCGGGGACCCCCACCCTGAAGGGGGTGTGACCAGCCTGAAAATGGCCCTCAGCAAATCACCCAGGCTGGCCACACCCTCATAGGGTGAGGGTCCACGCTGGGGGCTTGGCCAGCCTGCAAACAGCCATCAGCCCCTCACCCAGACTGCAAACAGCCATCAGTCCTTCACCAAGGCTGGCCAGGCACCCCAACAGGACCCCTACATCCTAAAGGGGGTGTGGCCAGGCATCCCAGCAGGGACTCCCACCCTCAAGGGAGTGTGGCCAGCCTGAAAATGGCCCTCAGCCCCTCACCCAGGCTGGCCACACCCTCATGGGGTGAGGGTCCCTGCTGGGGGGCTTGGCCAGCCTGCAGACAGCCATCAGCCCCTCACCAAGGCTGGCCAGGCACCCCAGCGGGACCCCCCATCCTAAAGGGGGTGTGGCCAGCCTGAACACAACCCTCAGCCCCTCACCCTGGCTGGCCACGCCCCCCCAGCAGGGACTCTCACCCCATGGGGGCGTGGCCGGCCTGCAAACCACCACAGGCCCCTCGCCCAGGCCGCCCCATGCCCCTCAGGAACCCCCACCCTGATCCGGGACACCCTTCAGGGCAAACCAGCCGAGCCCCCCTTGCACCAGGCCTCTATCTAAACTAATAAAAGGGTAATATGCTAATTAGACTGGGAGACCTTCCAGGAGACCTTCTTGACGTTCTTCTGGACAAAGCCATGGTGGCGGGGCTGAGGTAGAGGCGGTTTCGAGGCCAAGAGGGGAGGGCAGTTGTGGGTGTTCAGGCTGGTGGAGGGTGGGGCCATTGGGGGTAAGCAGACCAGCAGGGGGGCCAGTTGGGGGCAAGCAGGCCATCAGTGGGGGTCAGTTGGAGGTGATCAGGACAGTGGGGGGTGCAGTTTGGACTGAGCAGGCCAGCAGGGGGGCAGTTGAGGGCGAGCAGGCCAGTGGGAGGGGAGGTGGGGGTGAGCAGGCCAGCAGGGGGTGCAGTTGGGGGTGAGCAGGCCGTCAGGCAGGCAGGTAAGCAGTTAGGAGCCAGCAGTCCCAGATTGCGAGAGGGTGTCCGACTGCCTGTTTAGGCCCGATCCCTGTAAACCGGCAGTAGGACATCCTTCGAGGGGTCCCAGATTGGAGAGGGTGCAGTCCGGGCTGAGGAACACCCCTCCCCCATGCATGAATTTCGTGCACCAGGCCACTAGTTAATAATAAAGAACTAAAGAAAACTCTACTTACAAAGAAACTAGAGGCCTGGTGCACGAAATTCGTGCATAGGGAGGTCCCTCAGCCCAGCCTGCACCCTCTCCAATCTGAGACCCACCAGGATCGGGCCTAAACGGGCAGTCGGACATCCCTCTCACAATCCAGGACTACTGGCTCCCAACCGCTTGCCTGCCTGCCTGCCTGATCATTCCCTAACCACTCCCCTGCCAGCCTGATCGACGCCTAACTGCACCCCTGCCGGCCCAATTGCCCCTAACTGCCCTCCACTGCCAGCCTGGTCACCCCTAACTGCCCTCCCTTGCCAGCCTGGTTGCCCATAACTGCTCTCTCCTGCAGGCCTGGTCCCTCCCAACTGCCCTCCCCTGCAGGCCTGATCACCCACAACCACCCTCCCCTGCCGGCCATCTTGTGTGTTGGAGTGATGGTCAATTTGCACATTACCTCTTTATTAGATAGGATGATTTTATGGAATGCAAATTAAATAAACTGTTACATAAGTAAGGAATGCAATTCCATTTTCACTACTCTAAGCATGGCTGTAAATTGAGGAAAATATATTTATAAGTAAATTGTCGTTGGGTATCACTTAAAATTAAGTGCAAAGAGATAATGACATTTAAAACTTTTATGATTTTTAACACTTTCATGATTGGAGTAAAATTAATACCATAAAAATATCCCAATGTCACCTTCTTAAAAAAAGAATTGGAGAGGGGAATTCCATTCCCAGCCACAGTGGAGTGAGGGATTCAGACTTGCACTCTCATTGTAAATAAAGAACTGGACAGAGTCTATGAAACCCAAGTTTGCAAACATTGGACAACTGGCAATGCAGAATTTTGATCACTGAGAGAAGGGAAACAAAGGGAGAGAGCCCTAATATGTATGTCCCTGATTTTCTGCCTGGAGCAACTTTCTGGACCATACATAGTACATGGAAGGGGATTCTAAGCAGAGCATGGTGGTCTCACTGAGTTGGGGAAACAGAATGGGGATCAGGGAGGCTGCAGTGGCTGGACTTTGTGGGCCAATGTATCAGAGAGAAGGGCATTGCCCAGATAAAGAGCCCCACACATCTGCATGGGGTCTCATTAGTCTCTAGCTGAATACTGTGCCCTGTATACTTAGAATGAGATTTCAAGTGGTTGGGCAAAGAACAATTACTGAGGACAGTACAAACTACTAGGAAGCTATAGGCTAAACAAGTCCCAGCACTAACAAGGAATTGAGAGATGGTAGACTTCTGATCCCACACAGTAATAAGACCTTTTTGAACATCTGGTACAGTTAATAGAGACCCCAGAAGGGCTATGTCTTGATATTAAGGCTAAATAGCCCTAGATTAAAGGCCGCCATAAGTCCATAGCAATAGCTTAAATTCAAGTCTTGAAACCTGATCTGCAGGCAGTTTAACTGTCTTCCAAATAAAGCTGCTCTTTACAAGAAGAACAAAAAATTTAGACACTTAGCAATTACTGGGAAGAAGCAGGTCAGTGGGAATCAAAATCAGGAAGTATAAATAGACTAAAAAAACCCACAATAATGATCGAAAGCAGACAAGAATTTTAGACAGCTTGATCCCCAGTGGGGGGCGTTCAGGAGGCAGCCAATCAATGATTCTCTCTCATCATTGATGCTTCGATCTCTCTTTCCTTCTCCCTTTCTCTCTGAAATAAATAAAAAAAATATATAAAGTTAAAAAAAAGAAAAGAGCAAAGTGGAACTTTTAGAAATAAAAGATCTGAAATAAAAATAAAATAAAAATGTCACTGAATGGGTTTAATAAGCAGATTAGACACTACAGAAAACAAGATCAGTGAAATTGAAGATACCAATGCAAACTTTTTTTTTTTTAAATATTTTTTTATTGATTTCTCACAGAGAGGAAGGGAGAGAGATAGAGAGTCAGAAACATCGATGAAAGAGAAACATCGATCAGCCGCCTCCTGCACATCCCCCACCGGGGATGTGCCCGCAACCCAGGTACATGCCCCTGACCGGAATCGAACCTGGGACCCTTGAGTCCACAGGTCGACGCTCTGTCCACTGAGCCAAACCGGTTTCGGCACCAATGCAAACTTTTAAAACTATAGTACAGAGAGGAAAATATTTTTAAATATATTTTTATTGATTTTAGAGAGGAAAGGAGAGGGAGAGAGAGATAGAGGGAGAATCGTCAACCAGCTGCCTCCTACAAACCCCACACTGGGGACCAAGCCTGCAACCCAGGCATGTGCCCTGACCAGGAATCGTACCATGACCTGGTTCATAGGTTGATGCTCAACCATTGAGCTACACTGGCCAGGTGAGAGGAAAAAGTTTTTTTTAGAAAAGAATGAACCTGTGGAACAATATCAAGTTGTCCAACATGTAATTTGAGTCTCAGAAGGAGAGGAGTCAGATAAAATGATAACTGATGAATACTGCAAACACAGAGATACAAGCAATTCTTCAAACAGGATCAACACAAAACCATACCAAGGCATATCACAATTTAGATCATTCATGTTGCCTCTCTGAGATGAACACAGCCTGCCTCCCCCCCACCCCCCAACTATAAAGGAAATAATATACATATTGAGGCAGAAAAGTATAAATAAGAAAGTTAAATCACCCTGAAATCCTATCAGTGGTTCTCAACCTGTGGGTCGCGACCCCTGAAAATACATCCTGCCTATCAGATATTTACATTACGATTCATAACAGTAGCAAAATTACAGTTATGAAGTAGCAACAAAAATAATTTTATGGTTGGGGGTCACCACAACATGAGGAACTATATTAAAGGGTCGCGTCATTAGGAAGGTTGAGAACCATTGAGAGAGAGCATGTTGGTGATCATCCCTTCCCGATATATGTCTGTCTATAGTTGCACTTATACACAAGCATTTGTTTATAAATGGATTATAATATTCTTGTTGCTGCTGCTATTTCTTACAGTAAAATATACATAACATAAAATTGACAATTTTAACTAAGTGTACAGTTCGGTAACATTAAGTCTATTCACATTGCTGTGTAACCATCAGTACTGTTTATTTCCAGAACTAATCTTTCATCCCATACTGAACTCTGTACCATTAAGCAGTAACTCTCCATTTCCCCCTCTCCCACCTTCCCTGGTAATCACTGTTCTACCTTCTGTCTCTATAATTTGACTGTTATGTTACCTCATAAAAGTGGAATCAAACAATATTTTTCTTTGAATTTGGGTTATTTTACTTACCATAATGCTTTTAAGATTCATCCATGTAATAACATATATCAGAATTTCCTTTTTAAAACTGAATAATATTCTATTGTATGTATGTACTTCATTTTGTTTATTGATCTATCAATGGACATCTGGGTTATTTCTACCTTTTGGCTGTTGTGAATATGCTGTTATGAACATGAGTGTACAATTATCTGTTTCAGTCCCTGCTTTAAATTCTTTTGTGTATATACCCCAGAAATGGGTCAAATAGTAATTCTGTATTTAAATTTTGAAAAACTGTAGTGTTTTCCACAGGACTGTACCATTTTACATTTTTAACATCCAGGACTAAGATTCAAAGCAACCACATAAAAAGAATATAGAAGAAAGTCACTGTGCATGCCCAGGGAAAGATGTACACTCTGAAAAGACCTGAGAAGTCTAAGTTTACACCTCAAGCTGATTCTCAGCACAGATATCCTATGACAATAAAAATTTTAAAAATAGCAAATTCTGGGGAAGTGGTAGAATTTCAAGAGTTATGTGATGATTCAAATGTCCCATTAACAAAAAATCACAAGGCATACAAAGAAACCTAAAGTACTGTCCACTCAATAGTAAGTAAATCAGCAGAAATTGTTCCTGAGAAAGACTAGATGACAGGTTTACTAAACAAAGACTTTAACACAGCCATCTTAAAGAGGTATAAAGTAAGATGTGGACAAAATTAAGAAAAGTATGTATGAACAAAATGGGAATATCACTAAATGATAGAAAACATGCAAAGAAACCAAAAAGAAAAGCAGCAGCTTAAAGGAATAATAATTGAAATGAAAAATTTGCTAGACTTATTTTTTTTAAAATATGTCTTTTATTGATTTCAGAGAGGAAGGGAGAGGGAGAGAAGGAAACACCAATGATGAGAGAGAATCATTGATCAGCTGCCTCCTGCATGCCCCACACTGGGGATTGAACCCACAACCTGGGCATGTGCCCTGACCGGGAATTGAACCATGACCTCTGGTTCATAGGTTGACACTCAACTACTGAGCCACACTGGCCGGGCAACTTTTACTTTTACTCTTAAATTACTTTAACGTTGTATCTGGAAATAACAAATACCCATCACATTAATTAGCTTACTTTTGTTTATATTCTGTTTTCCTGTTTAACAGACATATTTAGATCACAATAAGAACAGATTTGAGAACCAATAATTAAGGGGTTTGCCCTTAATTTTTGTTGTTTTGCTTTAAATTTAGATATTCAAAGAGAAGAAGAAAAAGTGAAACGATCTGTGAAAGATGCTGCCAAGAAGGGTCAGAAAGACGTCTGTGTGGTCCTGGCCAAGGAAATGATCAGGTCAAGGAAGGCTGTAAGCAAGCTCTATGCATCCAAAGCTCACATGAACTCTGTACTCATGGGGATGAAGAACCAGCTGGGTAAGAAGGCCATTGCCTTACCACCACCTAGTCAAAACAAGAAGCGAGAAAGAGAGAAACATTTATTTGTTTCCTCCTGTATACCCCCCATCTGGGATCGAACCCACAACCCAGGCATGGACCCTGACCGGGAATTGAACCTGCAACCTTTTGGTGCATGGGATGATGCTCCAACCAACTGAGCCACCCGGCCAGGGCTTTAATTTTTATTTTTTTATCATTGTCTTAGTTTGGGTGTTATATAAAATGCAAAATATTACTATCATTAGTTTTATTGTTACTTTTCTTTTTGCCAGTGTTGTTGAAGTAATGACAGTCTACACATAAAACTGCTTTGTTTCAAAGTTAGAATGTGCCTGACTGGAGTGGCTCAGGGGTTGAGCATTGACCTATGAACCAGGAGGTCACGGTTCGATTCCTGGTCAGGGCACATGCTTGGGTTTTGGGCTCAGCTCCCAGTAGTGGGGGGAGTGCAGGAGGCAGCCAATCAGTGATTTTCTCTTATCATTGATGTGTCTATCTTTCCCTTTCTCTCTGAAATCAATAAAGATATATTTTTTTAAAAGTCAGAATGTATTTCCTCATGTGAACAGTGTTATAGAGTGACCTGAGAGTTGAATCATAGTTAAACTTTGCATCCAGTTGGTTTCTGTTCTTACTTAATTTCTGTTAAATGAAGACATCTTAATGCAGAACTATAGTTGCTCAGAATGGCAGCAAGCGACTGTCAGAAATTTATACTTAGTATGGGCTCAGAAATTATGGAGAAACTTTTCACTAAAGAGTATTGTCAACTCTCTGTCAGATACTACATTGATGAGCACGTCACACTCAAAAGTTAGAAGACTGAATTTTCATTTTAAAGGCTGGTTCCAAATTATTACCTAATCCATTATTTGATTGTATTTAGCTCTGAAGGTATTTCTTTACGTTCAGTTTTAATTTAACACTTGGATGTAGCTTTTAAATACTAGCATGTGTAATGACTACATCATCAGTTTCTTTCTCCAGATACTGACAAAAATAATCATGGGTTGGGAAAGAGTAAAAATGTGGCAAACTCTTTGTACCACATCTTTTTAACTTTTTTAAAAAATATATTTTATTGCTTTTTTACAGAGAGGAAGGGAGAGGGACAGAGAGTTAGAAACATCTATGAGAGAGAAACATTGATCAGCTGCCTCCTGCACACCCCCTACTGGGTATGTGCCCGCAACCAAGGTACATGCCCTTGACCGGAATCGAACCTGGGACCCTTGAGTCCTCAGGCCGACGCTCTATCCACTGAGCCAAACCGGCCAGGGCCACATCTTTTTAACTTTTAAAAACTGTTATTTCAGCCCTAGAGTAATGTATTTAGACTCGTTCAATACTGGCTATATCACTTATCTCTATGCCTTTGAACAAACCAAGTGTTCAGTACCATGAAGAAATAGTTTAATCTTATGTCATTTTAAAAAATATATATTTTTATTGATTTCAGAGAGGAAGGGAGAGGGAGAGAGAGATAGAAACATCAATCAGTGATGAAAGAGAACCATCGATTGGCTGCCTCCTACAACCCCTTATTGGGGATTGAGCCCATAAACTAGGCATGTACCCTTGCCAGGAATTGAACTGTGACCTGCTGGTTTATAGGTCAGTGCTCACCACTGAGCCACACAGGTTGGGCTTATCTGTCATTTTGAAAGCTCAAGTAAAATATTCTTGCCTTTTACAGCCAGCTTTGAACGTTTCATGTTTATTCCCTATTTTCATATTCCCTATTTTTATGCAACATGCTGAAAAGATGCATGTTCAGTTGACCATGAGAAACTTATTTTAAATTTTTTCATTATTTTTGTTACTGAATCAATATCAGAAAACATTTTGCTTATTGTGCCTTCTCTCCCCTACCCCACCTAGGAATTCAGCACTGTATGCATAGTCTCTTTTTTTCCCCAATTGCAAAGTAAAAGTATACAGGATAATATAGTAGATACTATGTACCTATTGCCTAGAACCAATAAAATTTGATATTTTGTTATATTTGCCTCAGTTTTTATATTATAAAACATTATTACTAAACTTGAAGCTCCTTTAATATACCTTTCCAATTCCATTCCCTTCTCTCTCAACCTCCCTAGAGGAAACCACTATCATGAATCTTAAAACTTGTATAAATGGTATTATACTATATACACCATTCGGTATCTTTGTACCATGTATCGTTGTACTTTTGAAATATACTCAATGATAAATACGCACTTTAACTAGTGGATGGTACTCCATTATATGGGTGTGTCATATTTTATTTTTGTTTCCCCCATTGATGAGCATTTAGGCTATTTCCAGTTTTTGCTGTTACTAACAGTGCTGCTGTGAATGTCTTTTCACTCTTGCACACGTCAGGTGGTTTCTTTAGGACAGTTATATACGCAGAGTGGAACAGCTGAATTTAAGTTATTCTAGAATTGCAAAATTACTCTCTACAGAGGTTTTACCAATATATATTTCCACCAGCAGCAGATGAGAGTTCTTTTTTCCATATCTTTTTATAGTCCGACTTTTTAACCTTTAAGACAGTGGTTCTCAACCTTCCTAATGCCGTGACCCTTTAAATACAGTTCCTCATGTTGTGGTGACCCTCAACCATAAAATTATTTTCGTTGCTACTTCATAACTGTAATTTGCTACTGTTATGAATCGTAATGTAAATATCTGATATGCAGGATGCATTTTCATTGTTACAAATTGAACACAATTAAAGCATAGTGATTAATCACAAAAACAATATGTAATTATATATGTGTTTTCCGATGGTCTTAGGCGACCCCTGTGAAAGGGTCGTTCGACCCCCAAAGGGGTCGCGACCCACAGGTTGAGAACCGCTGCTTTAAGAAGTGTTATCTTGTTTAACATCTGTGGGAACTAGTGAACTTGATCACTCTCTTCTGTCACCTTTTCTCCCTGTGTACTGGTTCCGAAAAATCTTTTCAAGCAATTATAACTCACAGATCACCATTAATTTACGTGAAAAAAAAAATCTTTCCTCCCATAGCATGTACTTTCAGTGGTAAACATGACAAAAGCTTTCTCAGGTACTGCACAAGTCAAGAGCTTGTTATCCTTTAAATATACATTCCTAACAATATGTAATGTTTTTTAAAACATATATTACCCTGTGGTTCTATCACAACTTAAAAGTAAAATATCTGCTCTTTGATTTTTAAATGTTAAAGTGCTATAAGGCTCTGTTTGGCCCTCTGCTCCCTTCCATCTTCTAACATCATGATCTCATCTAGCCTCATGCCTTTAAATGCTGTTGATATTTGAAGTTTTGTCTTCAGCCTGACTTCATCACTAAATGTATAGTTGGCATCTCCACTCATGTCTTAATGAGAATATCAAAATTAATATGACCACACAAAATCTTGGCTGGTCTTACTTCATCTGTATCCCCACCTACTCCCTATGTTCTCCTCTAGGAACCCAAGACATCATATAATTTCAGTTGTAAATGTTTGCACTTAGATTTTTAAAAGACAAGGGTTCTACCCCTTCTGTTCCTTGTTCTTTCAGTTCTGGGATTTGTGATCATTTCTTTTCCACGCACTGCATTTTTCTGTTTGTTGTGGGCGGGGCGGGGGGGCGGTTAATGAAAGCAAAAGATTTTAGTCAGTTGTTAAATTTCCTAGATTGGTCCTTTAATTTGTTAGGTTTCCTATTTTCTGTTTTGAGAATAATAATAGTACCTTCCTCATAGGGTAGTGTGAGGCTTAATTTAGTGCCTGGCACATGGTAATTGCTACATATTATAGGTTTAAATGTTATCATTGTTATCAATTTAGTCTTTGTTTTCTACTTTCTGAGAAATTTCCTCAACTTCATATTCCATTTAGTCTATTGAATTCTTTGTTTTGGCTAGCTTGATTTTTATTTACAGGAAAGAATTCTGTGATAGTCCCCTTAAAAAAAAAATTCTGTTTTTATTTCATGAATGCAGTATTGTCCCTTATTTTTGACAGTTTTCTTTAATAAATTATTTTTTGTTCCTTGCATTGGTTCTCAGAGCTGCTTCTTCTCTATTTCTCTCTCCCTTTTTAAGAAAGGAAGAGAACCCAGTGGTTGAGCGTTGACCTATGAACCAGGAGATCACAGTTCGATTTTCGATCAGGGCTCATGCCCAGGTTGTGGGCTCGATCCCCAGTGGGGGCGTGCAGGAAGCAGCTGGTTATTTCGTCTCTAGCATCATTGATGTTTTTCTCTCTCTCTCCCTTCCTCTCTGAAATCAATAAAAATTTATTTTTTTTTAAGAAGAGAGAGGGAGGCAGAGAGGGGAAATGGAGGAGATTGGATTAAGTGTAAGCTTCATGAGAACCTTCTTCAGTCTCTTCAGCAAATGGACTAAGCTACAAAGAGCAAAATGTTTTCATAAATTTAATAAATACATTCTCTTAGCCCCTATTATGTGCCATATATATTGCTGGGCACTGGAGATAAAATAATGAACATTACAGGCACAGTGTTGCCCTCTAGGTATGGAGTGAAAAGCAAATAATTGAATAAGTTTAATAAAGTAATAAAATACATGCATATTTATAATTGTGTTAAGCACTAGGAGACTGTAAAAGGGAAATGCAGTGAAAGGTGGCTCCTTAAGGCACGGATGTAACCTGAAGGAGGAGGAGCAATTAAGTGTATGTGTTGGTGGGATGTTCCAACTAGAGTGTCAGTATGTGTAATGGTCATGGGGCAAAAACAATAGTGTACTCCACTCTGAAGGAAGGTCTGGGAGGTTGGGTACCCCAACTCTCAAGTTGATGGCCAGTAAGGATGAGCAGGGAAGTGAAGACGGGGTTTTTTTGGTGTTTTTTATTTTTTGTTAATCTTCACTCAAGGATATTTTCCCATTGATTTTTAGAGAGAGTGGAAGGGAGGGGAAGAGACAGAGAGAGAAACATCAATGTGAGAGAGACACATCGATTGGTTGCCTTCCTCATGCACCCTGACCAAGGTTG